CTTTAATACCAAAAGGAAGCCTGTTGTACTTGAATAACCCTCTATGCGTGTTTATCCCTAGTAACTTAAGAATATACTTTTAAATTGTGTATCCACGAATATAATATAAGCTGACCAAAAAAATCGAAACAACTTACGACTTTTTAATTTTATGTCTTGCTTTATAAAATATTGTTGAGCAACCAAAAAAAAAAAATAATTTTTTTTTTTTTTTTTTAAGTTCGTTACCTTTCAAAGTCGACACGGTGTATTTGTGCTCCTTTTAATTCCATGCATGTTTTTGTAGTCGGCCAGTTTTTTTTTTTTTTTTGTTGTTTTTTGTTTTTTTAATAAACCGTTATTCGTTTACGCCACCTTTCAGATTTTTCTGAGTGAACGTTCCTTTATGCTTAGTCGTCCTTTAACGAGTTTTAAATATCCAAACTTCAGAATCCTTTGCCGTTCCATTAGATGTTGGACTTTTAATTAATAATTCTTTTCTTCAGCCTGGGTTCTTCAAAGTCTTGTCCCAATTGTTGAAGGCTATCAATTATCAATTCTTTTTTTTTTTCGTAACGTAAAGTTCTTACTACCTCGTCGCCATTGTTGAAACTTGACTAATGCATGGAATAATAATACAACACAAAATGTACTTAGAACAAAATGTATTGAAACAAGAAAGTGTACACAATATTTACATATAGTCTTTTATATATTCTTGGGAAGACCGTTCCTGGAGAATGTGTTGACTTAGTCGCAGTCGGGCAGAGTCTCTGGATTGAATCTCTTGATTCCTCCCATCGTCTTCCCGGTACCAACCATATTTATATGGTCGGTACTCCACTATGCAAATAAGGTGGATCCTGCCCCAACAAGAAGAGACAAAGAAAAGAGTACTGAACTATTATGTAATATCGTTTCTCCTATATGACAGGGAATGATGGACAATCACCTCACAGATGAAGAAGAGACAAAGAAAAGAGTACTGAACTATTATGTAATATCGTTTCTCCTATATGACAGGGAATGATAAACAATATCCTCACAGATGAAGTAGAGACAAAGAAAAGAGTACTGAACTATATGTAATATCGTTCCTCCTACATGACAGTGAATGATAGACAATATCCTCACAGATGAAGAAGGGACAAACAAAAGATCGCTGAAATATTATGTAATATCGTTCCTCCTATATGACAGGGAATGATGGGCAATCTCCTCACAGATGAAGAAGAGATAAAGAAAAGAGTACTGAAATATTATGTAATATCGTTCCTTCTATATGACAGAGAATGATGGACAATCTCCTCACAGAGGAAGAAGGGACAAAGAAAAGATGGCTGAAATATTATGTAATATCTTTCCTCTTATATGACAAGGAATGATGGAAAATCTCCTCACAGATGAAGAAGAGACAATAGAAATTAGGTTCTACAGAAGGATGCTGTGAATACCATATACTAAACATCTCCTCATAGATGAAGAAGTAATAAAGATAAGAGTACTGAAATATTATGTAATATCGTTCCTCCTATATGATAGAGAGTGATGGACAATCTCCTCACAGATGAAGAAGAGATAAAAATAAGATTACTGAAATATTATATAATATCGTTCCTCCTATATGACAGGGAATGATGGACAATCTCCTCACAGAGGAAGAAGAGACAAAGAAAAGATCGCTGAAATATTATGTCATATTGTTCCTCTTACATGACAAGGAATGATGGAAAATCTCCTCACAGATGAAGAAGAGACAATAGAAATTAGGTTCTACAGAAGGATGCTGAGAATACCATATACTAAACATCTGCGGAATGGTGAATTTTAGAGAAAATTGAAACGAAAAGAAAATTTCTATTTCAAATCAAATGAAATTTCTAAGGTGCACAATGAGGAAAGCAGGCTTAGAAAATCTGACACTGACATGACATATTTTGGAAATAGTTTTGGATATCAACATTCGTTAGACCACAAGATAGGGTTAAGCATCAGCTGCAAAAAGACAGAATACATGGTTGTTAGCAAAAAGGAACAGTCTAAAACGCAAATTACAAATCGGGGATACCAAAATCAAACAAGTACGAAAATTTAGATATCTGGAAAGTGTTTTAACAGAAGATGGAAAACTGAAATCCGAAGATGTATAGGGATAGTCAAAGATTCATTTCATAAGCTAACAAGAGTATTAAGAGATAAAAAATACTTCGTTAGAAACAAAGAACACTGAAATGTTACGTGATGTATTTCCTCCTATATGGCAGTGAATGCTGGACAATCTCCTCAAGGTTGAAGAAGAGACTCCAAGAAAAAGAAATGTGGTTCTACTGAAGGATACTGAGGATACTATGAAGCGAAGATGTGAGCAACGACCATGTTTTATAGAAAATGGAGACAAAAGAAAAATTATACTTAACATCAGGAAGAGTCAGTTGACATTTCTAGAACCCATAACGAAGAAAGAGGGCTTGGAAAATCTTATACTCACATGAATTCCCAGTAATGAAAGACCCGGTCAAAGACGGGTTATATTGCTAGTCTATTTTCTGGCTTGCTTTAAACCACCTGCAAAGAGTTGATAAGCCGTAGAAAATGAATCAATCAATCAAGATATGGGTTCATGATGTCCTGGACGGTATGTCAGGAAGCGTGCGTCTTTCACCAATGCCTGCTGGGGGTCTTGCTATAACAGCTCTTTGTAAGGCTACCATGGTAGAAATGAACTTACAGTGAGTTTCAGCAATGTGAATAAACTAACTGATAAATATTGATTTACATCAAATTGGATTTTGAACACTGGCAAAAAGACCCTGAATTCAGAATCTTGTTTTAAAACAAGACTAGCAGAGCCCCTCAACTTGAAAGAATTCCCTAACAATGTTATTACGGCTAATTCTTCCTATTAGGCCTTGCACCAGATTAAGCTATGATTAGACAGTATCTGTTAGGATATTATTCATTTAACAGATCGCGATAACTATTAGGGAGATGTGATTAAATATACTTTAATGTTTAAAAAAATTATTCAGCATTATCATTGTTTAGGTAATAAGCATTATAACATAGCACAAATAGTTATATTATGGGAAAAGGAATTTTCAACAATATACGCATTTTTTTACGTATTTATGGTTATTTTTAACTTTTAACAAGAGACATTTTTGTACATGTAGTTATGGATAATATTATACATTAATTACTATTTTTTAATTAATAACTATTTGTGCTCAGTTGATATTAATAGCTATCTGCTGATGGGTTAACATTTTGGAATAATGCAATAATAATAATTTAAATTTCATCTCTCTAAATAAATGTCGCAATCTGTTAACCCTGTTGAGTGTTTAGCCATTCTTTCCTCATCAGAAATGCCAAAAATGGCATCAAATTTTACACATATTTTTCTATTCTGCAAACATCTTTAATTTACAGATCGTTACAGTTATTAGAGAGATGATTAAATATACTTTAATGTTTTAAAAATATTATTCAGTATTATTATTGATTAAGTAATAAGCATTATAAGAAAGCACAAAATAGCTATCTTATGCAAATAGGAATTTTTAATAATATACGCATTTTTTTATGTACTTATGGTTATTTTTTAACTCTTATCAAAAACGACATTCTTGTACATGTAGTTATGGATAATATTATACATTAATTATTATATTATTTACACTATTCGGACTATTGCCCTCATCTTTGTCGCGATATTTATTACAACGTTTCAGCCGTTGTACGCTCCGGCCTTCTTCAGGTGGTTGGTATCTCGAACTGAACCTTTTATTTCGCTCACTGGGGTAGACTGTTCTAGTTCCACGTGCCATGTTTAATGGATGTCAGTTATCAGTTATCTCCTGTTAATTTCCCTCTGAAAGTTCTGCACTGCCTTAACCGAGTATTGAACTCACACTCTTTGGGTCCTGTCAATGGATCTAACGGCTTTATCCACTGTGCCATCTGTGTATGAATTTCTGGGTATTAAAACCTAATGTCTTCAGCAACGATTTTTACCAGTGCTCATATTGCAATTTTTGCTGTTATCATTGCATGTTTTTACCAGAGCTCATATTGTAATTTTTGTTGTTATTATCGTTTTTCTCTGGCACTCCTTATTACTGCTTCCCATATTGTATTCATTTCTATGCTTGGTCGGCTCGGAAGATTTTTTAATTAATAACTACTTGTGCACAGTTGTTTGCATTAATATGAATCTGCTGCTGTGTTAAAATTTTGGAATAATGAAATAATAAAGATTTAAATTCCATTTCTCTGATAGATGTCGCGATCTATAAATACTGATTAATCCTTGGAGAAAGCTAAATTTAAAAAAATGCGTTAGTGCCATTTGTGCGAAAATCTTAGTATATTTTGATGTAAAAGATTTAACATTATCTAACTTTACGATATTTGTTTCTGTGCACACATGAAAGGATCTGTCAACGTCATTTTTCATTAAGTTCCCTTTCTGAACCGTTGTATCAAAGTTGAATGTCATGATCGTACAATTCTTGATGTTTGCTTGATTTCGTTACTAAATGTCAGCTCATTTATCTTTATTCGTTAAAATAAGATGAAAGAAACAAAGAAAAACGTTGCACAAATTTTCATCATTTCATCGGGCCTCATTTTAACTTAGAACAATTTCCCCGCTCCTCCAAAAAAAAAAAAAAAAACCCAAAAAGCAAAAATAAATTCCCATCTGACAAATTAACGTCAATCTGGCTTTATTGTCTGGTGATTAAAAGCGACATGCTTTATAAAAGCAACAAAAACCAAACTGATTCAAAATACTTGCTTTAATGAAGCTAAAAACCAATTTTTCAAATTTTCCTTTTTTTTTTAAACAAGTTGACAAAATATAGGCGCTTTTTATTCAACGATTTGAGTCTTCTTCAAAAACAACTCAATATTAAATTTGCCATCTTGACAAGTCGTAAAAACATTAGATATAGGATAATATAATAAATAATATAAGGGAGATAATAGAGAAATAAATTGTTTTATTAAGATCTGACATTTCATCAATCTCTATTCGCTGCAAAAGCTCCAGCCGTAGTGCGATGGTTATCAAGCAAGAATGTCGGAAAATTAGCAAGTGCAATGAATGAATAGATAGATAGATAGATAGATAGATAGATAGATAGATAGATAATGAGCATACTGAGATAGATAGATAGATAGATAGATAGATAGATAGATAGATAGATAGATAGATAGATAGATAGATAGATAGATAGATATGATCAAACGGAGAAGTATGAAAAGAGATACATACATACATACATGACAGCTGGCTATGGACACCTCGAGGCGGTGTAATTTTTAGCAAGCTTATCTCGCTAGAACAATTACGACTGAGTAGTGAGTTCGATCCTCACTGGGTGCCCCATACTTTCGGCCTTGTGCCACATCTGAGCTACGCTTGGAACATCACTACATAATATGTGGCTACTCGTATTCGAGGCCGGCTAGCCAATCCTTATTGCAGACTCTCGCTCAGGCACATTTGTGTTTTTTCAGCGCCCACAGAGCCCACCTGTTGTTTATACTGCAACTCTGCTGAGCAGACTTTATCAACAGTTTATGTGAGAGAGCGTGTTACATAGCGTGATCAATAAAGTGAACAAGGCCAGCAGGCTCAAACCCTCGGTCACGATGACTTGCGACTTCATGCTAGCAAGCACAGCTCGTGTTCCTACCCAATTTCAATCACAAGGCTTGGGTCAACCCGAGGTATGGTTTTTAGGCACTTTCCAAAGGGTCTGCACAACTGGGATCGACCCCTCCAGTTCGATAACATCAGGAAGTCTACTTCCTGACAAACCAAACGTGGTCAGATTCGAACCTGGGTCTCATGGTTAGAAAGCGAACGTGCCACGCGCCCATAATACTTAATACGTATGAGCAGACCCTGCATATATATGAGCAAACTCTTGATTGATAGATAGATAGATAGATAGATAGATAGATAGATAGATAGATAGATAATGGCTGCCACCTCGTTGTCTGGTATCATTATCAAACCTAGTTATCTTTTGTATGCGCCTTTCTGTTTTTTAACCCTATCATTTAAACTGTACCTGGCACAAAGTTGGCAGACATTAATTTTGCTGCCCTTAAATCTATTTTGTGACTGCATATCTTTTCAGCAAAGACAGATGGATACATGCATATATAGATAGATAGATAGATAGATAGACAGACAGACGGACTGAGATAGATAGATAGATAGATAGATAGATAGATAGATAGATAGATAGATAGATCTCAGCTGAATCAGAGAGAAAGAGAAAAAAATCATGGAGAGACTTCTACCATATTCCGAACCTCTGACTAGAAAATAGGGAATCAAATGTCATGATCAAAAGGAAAAATTTAATTTCATTCAATTTTTTATAAGAATTAACGAAGCCTTATTATTTTTTAAAATTACAAAAAAAAATTATTATAAACATGTAAAAAGAAAACTTGTTAAATTTGGTTTCTAAGCTAATTTCACCCTCTCTTTTCAAAAACTGTGGCTTAATGGATACATCTTTTGATAGTTTACATCTTGGTCGGGGTTTCAATACTCGACGAAATTTTATATAAGTTTTATATATGAAGAACCAGAATTTTATATAAGTTTTATATATGAAGAACCAGATTTTTATAACATTAAATTTCTAAAGATAAAATGTGTGATGAAAAAAATATGTGACCCTTTCTCGGTTGGTATGAAAAGCGTTTATTAGATCAATTTCTATTCAAGCCTCCAATCCCATATTTTCGGGTGGGTAACTTGTAAAAGGTCAAAGTGTTAAAAGGTTTAGGAGAAACGAAGAAACAAATAAAACAGCGTTTTCTCTTCTGGCTCTTCACCCTCACAACAGCCTTCATTAATATCACGATCATACTTGAAATATGAATAATTTTTTAAACATTTCTTTTTTTTTCTTTATAGATTTTGTAAAGAAACCCGAAAACCTTGGCGATTAGACATTCACGCATGCGCGTGCGCGCACACACACACACACAAACACACGAAAACACACACACACATACACAGACAGACACACATATATATATATATATATATATATATATATATATATGTGTGTGTGTGTGTGTGTGTAAAAATATATAGAAAATGGGAAGGAACTCGTTAGGTAAATAATTCAAAGTTCTTTAGTATTATTGTTATTTTTTAAAAAATAGTGCTCGATAGTAGAGCATAAACATATTTAGCGATGGAATCATATTTTTTAATAAATAAACATATATTATATATATATATATATATATATATATATATATATATATATATATAAAAAATGTTTTACGCCATGGAATATTTATGGGCAAAAGTGCTCAAAGCGTGTGTAAATATAAAAGTGGACACTGAGGTTAATACGGAGTGGAGGTAGCCTATTTAATGTTCGAACGCAGTCTTCGAGTCTGAAGATTCCAATCAAGCATGAAAGTGTTTCCTTCTTATATATATATATATGTGTGTGTGTGTGTGTGTGTGTGTGTGTGTGTGTAATTAGGCAACAATCCTTCTTTCATGCACATTTCAATGAATACGACAGATAAGGTGCTTTGATTTAGTTTTTTATACAATTTCTCATGTGATCTAATATTATTTTTCTTATATAAAAACTGTCCGAATATTCTTTTCTTCCGAGCACTTTCGGCTATACATTTAGCCATTTTCAAGGATGAAGTATTTTAACTGTTAAGTAAGAAATAGTTTGTTGCATGTATGTATTTATATGATGTTTTCATTTTTTTTCAAAACACGGTCAAGATATTGTGTCTATGTTCATAGTTGATATTAATGAGTGTCCTTTCTTTTTTCTTTTTTTAAAAACCTCTTCTTTACTCTCGTTCTCTCTATTTACTTTCTTTGTTTTATTCTTTCTTTTCCTGTTATCACTTCTTTTTTCAATTTTCTTTATATTCTTTCTCTTGATTCTTTGTCCTTTCTTCTTTTTTCGGTTTTTTTCTTATATCTTATGATTTTTCTATTTCATTTCAATTCTTTCCACATTTTTACTTCATCTTTTTTTCACTTTCTCTCCTCTTTATTTACATTTCTTTCTTTCTTTCGTTCTTCTTTTCTTTCTTTCTTCTTTTCTTCCTTTCTTTCTTCCTTCCTTCCTTTCTTTCTTTTTATCTTTCTTCCTTTCTTTTTTCTTCATTTCTTCCTTCCGTCCTTCCTTCCTTCCTTCCTTCCTTTCTTTCTCTCTCTCTTTCTTTTTTCTTCCTTCCTTTCATTCTTTCTTTCTTTCTTTCTTTCTTTTAATGCTTCTTTTGCTTATACTTTTCTTCCTCCTTCTCTTCCTTCCGATTTCTTTTTTTCTTTTTTTATTAATTGTCTCCATTGTCTTCTCTTTTTCCCTTTCTTCCTTTTTGTTTTCTTCATCATCCCAACTACATTTTTATTTCCCTTTCTTGTCTGTCTTTATTTTTGTTTTCACCATTGATTCCTCATTTATTATCATAATCTTCGCCCATTCGAGAATTTTTCTTTTTTTCTTTTCTTTTCTTTTCTTCTTCTCTTCTTTCAGTCTCCATCTTTCCCTTGGTCATTTTCTTTTACCCCCTCCCCACATCTCGTTTATTTTTCTTTTCATCTTTACTCGAACTCACCCGATTCCTTCATTGTTTTCGTATTGACTACACCCTCTTTTCCCGCCAATTGCTTTCTTTTCTCCCATTTTTCCCATCTTTTTTTTCTGTCACTTTCTTCGGGCTTCCCAGTGCAGTCTTTGAAAATCAGTCTCTTTTGAATTTCTCTTTACTATCTAGGAGATAAAACAATCATGAGACATTTTGCTAGGTGGAGTTTTTCAAAAGTCAAAGAAATTTTCCGCACCAAGCAGCCTTTCGCCTTCTGGCTAAAAGTGAAATCGACTAATGTAGCTGAAGGCACTGACTGTCGAAGTTGGAACCATATACTAACGAGGAAAAATTTTAAGGAAATTGTACTTTACATAAGTAATCAGTCAAGTACTTGCAGAACACATCAGAAGAAAATAAAAGAAACACTGAAAAGTTCTCAGCCCGAACTACTTTACAAAATCGAACCAAATATCCATATTTGGAATTCCTTTTTTGGTTGAACTGAGAACTTTTCAGAATACCTACGTACCATTGTCTATCTGAGAAACAGCTGCTATTCCCCTGTGAGGGTTACGAGACTAAGCCACTTTTGAAAACCCAGCAATGATAACTATACTCCATTTTAGTTTTGATCTAACTCTTGTAAAGATCGGGCATATCGGTTAGAGTCAGATATATTCTGGGACGATCATCACTTAAATTCGTAATCTACAATCTAGAAAAGGTTATTAAGATGCTAAAGGTCTGTGGTTTTTGTTAACGAAATAATAAATAGAATTGAGAAGTAGTTTATTCAAGATGTCTTCTGTTCGGCTCTGACCTACAGTTAGTTAACGTAACAAACATATTTACTTGAAAAATTGTTTTATTAATAGAAAGCGTTTATAAATTTCAACCGAAAGTAACACTGATTGTTCAGTCAATAAAAGCAGAATATTTCCTTAAAAGGCTACTATTACCATTACATTTGGTGATATAAATTTGATTTTCTTTTTGTCTGAGAGTATCTGTAACAGAGAATCGTGTTAGTCCGATAAAAGACTCTGAGTTACTTGTATGCTCCCAGATTTTTGATGTACCTCTTGTCGTGATCGAGATGGGTAGTGACAACAATGTAGTGGAAGTTCCTCTCTTGCGAAGGAGTACCAGAAGATATGGCAACAGTAACATCGCATGGTCCATACCGTGGGCCATATGGTGTCAGAGAAAAGTGAGAAGAGATATGTCAATGCCAGTGTACATCCAGGGTTTCGGCACCACATACAACCAACTCAGAGTCTTTTATCGGACTGACTCTCTTACAGTATCAAATCCAAATAAACCAAATTGCTAAAACTTTATCATTTCATATTACAGAAGTTCTATTTCTTTGGTCTGTCAGTCGAGCAAACATAAACTCGCGACCTCTGTGGGTAAATAGATACAGTGACACATAAGCCGTGTTTATTACCTCCGATATAAATAGGTCGCCGTTGCTTACATAGCAAAATGTATATGAATTCACAAACCGTAGTTCTCCCTGTTGAACGTTTCTTTATTTTATCATACCCCCACATTATTATAAGAGTTTAATTGATGGCATTCCTCATAAGAGGTTTCGGAAATCAGTCCAATCTTCCTCCCACCCAAATCTACACATTTATGTCTATATCTCTGAGATGAGTTATTATGATTATTTATATGATTTACATTATTCGCGTCCTGGGTATGACGATAAACTACATCTGCATCCTGGGTAAGACGATAAACTACGTCCAACAGCAAGGAGATCAGGAGGTTTTGAGGTGTACGGAACCACCTCTTAATTGCTGGTGTTCCCAGGTCTACCCTGACCTGAGGTGGTAGCACCTGTTAGGGTCCCAGCTATGGGCAAATACTTAACCCCGAAAATGAGCTAAAAAGTGTAAAAATAGGTTTTAATACCAGAAATACTTTGTAAAAAATTGTTAGCAAAAATAATATTACCAGCTATACGTTTTTGAAAAAAATAATATTACCAGCTATACATTTTTGCGGAAAAAATATTAACAGAAAAAGATTTTTGACAAAACAAAAATATTACCAGAAAAGTTGTCGGCATTAAATGACCCATTGAGGTGTTGATATGCCGTAAAACAAAACAAACCAATTCTCATTATTCTTGAGATGAAGATAACAGTCCGAATAATGTAAATAATGTAAACTACACATTTTTGTCAAACTTTTCGGTACGGCCACTTTTCGCCCCCTCTTTAGGATCATATTTCAAACGTTTCTTGATATATCTTTGTTTATTGTGATCGTGTATTTCCTATCAGCTAGATCTGGTGCTTCTCTTATGTCTTTAGAGATTATTAGTAAAATACAAAGAATCTGCAATGTTATTGGTCCTGACCTGGCATCTTGGCTTCAGTTACTTTACCACCGCCGTATCGTGTGTGTGTGTGTGTGTGTGTTTGTGTGTGTGTGTGTTCATATTAATTGTTCTAATTAGCTTTCCTCTTTGATACCTAGACTTTATGGATTTAAGCGCAATACTAGATTGGCGGCAAAATCTCATCCTTTTACATTTGAAATGACTAAATGTAACCGTAAGTTCTATGCTAAAGGTTTCTTCTCTTGCACTTCTCAGTTCAGGGGATTTTTTCCAGCTTCTTGCTTTCCAGTCAACTATGATCTTCAAAAATGTAAAAATGTTATCTTCTCTTTTCTTAA